TTTTTCGAAGAGTGTACATAGCGTATGTTTTTGATAAACAGTCGCGTTACGGTCGTTCATTCGATTCCATATCTAATTAAATTAGTGATGTATAGAGTCGGTACTTTAAAGTATTGATCGATACTCGGTACCAACTTAAAATGTTTCCAATACTTTCGATACTCGGTACCGAAATATTGGAATTTCTAATAAGAGTCCGGAATACCCACAAATCTGAAATAAAAGCTGTTTAGCGATCATTGAAGTCATTAATCTATGGTTGGAGAAGTCTATTTCTTCACATTATTTGTATATGAACTTTCTCGTCGCTGGATTAATATCTGCTCCTGTCATATAAAATATTTAGCAATGAAATATTCTTTTTACTGCAAACTTCAAATGTGTACCCTTGTGGTCAGCTGCTTAAGTTAAATGACATTTTAACCAGTTTTGACTATTTTTTTTTGCCTATTAATTGTCTATAATTTTGTTTTATATTTAGGTTGTTATTACAATTAAAATTATATCATAAAATCTGTTTATGTTTTTACCTATTGCACCGTGCAATGTTGTCATACGAAAGTAATGTTTAGCATGTCGCTTTACGAAGCTATAAATAGAATTAAAAAAAAAAACAAGTAATTTTAAACAGAAAACATAACCGACTTCAATTCTCATATACAAATTTCAGAGTACCGTTAATTTCTTCATGATCCAATGATCGGATCTAAGCCAAATTACTTGTTTACTTAAAAATTACTTGTTATAAAGTCGGTTATTAAAATAAAAATAAACTCCGTGCCACAGGTTTTGAACCCGTGACCAACAAGTTGGTAGCCGAACACGCTCCCATGTAGCTGTATTAGCTGTTGATATAATGTGAGAAAAAAAAACTTAAGTTAGTCCTCAAACTTTTTGAAGTGAAACTTCCTTAGCGGCGGTTGGTTTTTTGGGAGTAAATAGGCAAATTCAGCGGAAATTGCACACGGAAATGGTGCAACGGAAATGGTTGGGACGGATACAAGTGTTTCTTGAATGGATGTTATTAATTTAACAAAAACTTCCTAATAAAAGGTTAAAGAATAACACTTAGAAAAAGATGAATACAAGAATGAAAGTAAAGGTGAGTACGTACATAAATAAAGAAACGGACAAAGGCAAAGGTAAAAATAAAAACAAAAACAAAGTTGCATAAAGATAAAGGCAAAAATGAAGACCAAAGTCAATTTAAACACTTTACTTATATAAGCGCAAAGGTGAAAGGAAAATATGAAGAATATGATAAACTTAAAAACAAAAATAAAGATTAATATAAAGAAAAAGATGATGATGAGGATACCGATAAAAGTATAGATGAAGATATAGGAAGAAAGGTTAAAATAAAGGTAGTTGTAGAGAAAAGGATATAGATAGAGGCACAGAGACTCAATCTGGGAACTATTTC